TTCTGAATCTTCAACCTCAGATCTTACCACAAAGCTGGGAAATGCTAGAGTTATGTCCCTGTAGTATAATAAAACAAAAAACAAAAAACAAAAAAAATAAAGATGGTGTTAATTTGCAGGCAGCTAATGTAGGATCAGAAAGAAGACAATCAACTCCTAGGAATATGAACACTTACGTCAGATATGGAAGAGTCATGTTCTTTATAAGAGAGGGATTCTTCATTACAAATTCCTTCCACTCTTCTGGATCAATTCTTCCATCACCATTGACATCTGCATCTCTGAATGTCTGTAACGAAAATAATCCCATGTGTGGTGATTGTTAAGAGTCCCATATTGAAAATACAAAAGAGAAGATATGAGTTTATAAGTTAATTGATTGGATCAGGTCTTTTAGCGTCCTACACAAAGGTTAGGTTAGGCATGTATATAGTAGAGCAGTCTTCACCTTATCTACAATTGTTTCAACAACATCATCTGACAGATCCAGTTCTGATTCATTTAATAGTGCCAATACCATCTCTTTCAACTGTAAACCATAATCCATATATTACAAGTAAGATATGGTTCAAATGAAGATAGGACTTCCCGTGCGGCCGGTGCGAATTGCACCATTAGGTATGCATAAACGTACCACTCAATGTCCAAAATGCACCAGGATTAAATGCACAAATGCACCACACACCAAAAAAATGCATCACACCTATTGGTGCATTTTCGAACACTTTGTGGTGCATTTATACATACCTAATGGTGCATGACCGCACGGGAAGCACTGTCCGCACGAAACCTAACCCTTACAAGTAATATTGATCAGCTGATACAAATTAAAAAATAATAACAACGATGATAATTATATATAAGAATAAACCATACTTCTTCTCTCTCGATAAAACCAGTGTTCCTTAAATCATATAACCTGAAAGCAACTGCAAAACAGTTTAGTGAAAATAAATAACATGCAATGTTGAATCATATGAACAGATATCTCAAACCCAAGAGACATTTAAGGACAGCAATTTTTTTTTTTAATTTTTTTTTTACATGAATGGGCTAGTGATCCAAGATGAATGGTTGTCTTACATGTGATTTTCGCTGCTGTTTGTGCATTTGGGTGGAATACACTCAAAGATCGGACAAATTCTCCAAATTCAATCACTCCATTGCGTTTTATATCAAAGAGATCGAATATCTGCATATGCAATCAGAAATGAAAACTAAGTGAAGGATAACCCCATCATTGCAAATTGGAGCTATGGCAAGAAACTTAGTAGATTATGGCATCTATCTAAATATATCTTAAAATTCTGAAGCCTGGTTGACCACATTATACCCTGTCTGCAAATAGATTCCTCCTATCTTTGTTCTGGAACAGTGCAAGCTGAAACTCTTCCTGAGATCAAGAACCAGGGGCATCAATTTCGATTACATAAAAATAAAAAATAAAAAAACTAAATGTTGGGCGGAGGCCAGTGAAGGGCCAAGTCCAGCACCCTTCCTCTCGAAAATGTGATGGCGGTGTAAGGAAATAAAATTGCGACATCGCTACTAGCTATAGCTTTTGGGGTAATGGTAAGCGCTTGATCAGTACCTTATGAATGAGCCCATCATTGTTTACGGAGGCACTTATTTTCTTAAATAGCTCATATAATGCCTCGACTTCACTTACTGTGACTGCAAGAAAATAAAGCAACACGTCCCTAATCATTTATTTTGGAACTAATATTAGGAATCGAAGTTAGAATGAATGTGCCAATATGTAAAAAAAACACTTGTTCGATTAGATGACAGCCATTTCATGACTATTGCATCAAATTTACACAATTATTATAGATGAATCTTTCACAGATGAGGGCAATTGCAAGTCAACCCTTCTCTTTTCTCCGAGATGGGAATACTCCAACAAACAGACAACTGCAGAGGCCAAGTATAAAAGCGGCACAAAAAATTTGATACTAACTACTCAAAGAAAAGTGTTTGAGCAGTTCCTAGATCAAATTAAAGATAGTTAATCGTATCCATATAGAGAAGTAGAAATGTGGTGTCTTCATTAGTTATTGACAACTCTTTCTCAAAGGAAAATCTGAAACTCAGACTAAGGTTAAGTACACCAACAATCTTGTGGCAACAAATTATTCAAGCCTAGGGAAATTTTTTTTGGAAATGTAAGAGTTTTTTCCATTTTGGTTCACTAATTTTTCCAATTTTGGTGGTCTTACCCCTCAAGTTCAACACTGTCCAATCATTAAACCCATTTAACTCCATTGCTAATGTGGACAAAACATGCACAAATGTGGAAAAGATATAACAGGCAAAGTGGAAACAAAGGCCCCACCAGTCTTGCCAGTTTGCCGATTTTTCATCGGCCCGCACCCCATTAGTGTTTAAAGAAGTTAGTAACTAAAGGCTAAATTCAAGGTAACTTTTTAAAGAGCCAAGATGTTGACAGAGCAATTACAAAGTATGGAGCAGGACTCTCAAAAATAGAAAATACGGAGTATTAGAGCATCTCTAATAGTTGTAGATTATGAGAGGGAAGGGAAAAAGGACCAAAAAAACAAAAAAAAAAAACAAAAACAAAATCTGAAAAAAAAAAAAGAGATTCAGATTAAGGTTTTGGCTTCACGAGAACCATGTGTTGCCTTTTCATTTTGTTGGTGGTCCCACACTGGATCCAAAAATTAGATCCTTATCTTGTGAAAAAATCACCAAAAAACCCACTCCCATTTTGTTGAAAAATCATGGTTAAGTTTTTAGGCTACAAAAACCACTTAAAATCCACTATTATGGATGCCCTTAGGAACCGAAAATAACAAAAAAAGAAAACACGAAAAATATAATGACCAAGGATGAAACACTATCATGACTTCCATCTTGAAATTAAGAAAAAGGGTTAAAAACTTATTTATTTGCCTTCTCATACTTACAAGGTGTCTCAGCAGCAAGCACACTAGGCTCCTCATATCCAGGGGTGTGTTTGGTGGTTTTTGAGTAGAAGCAACCCATCAAAGACACGCATAAAAGTTTTTACTTTAGATGTAAATACTTGAGTTGGTGAAACTTCATGGAATAACCCTCCTGCAAGTATCAATAACTAAAACGAATTGATCAGCTTCGTGTGCAGAATTTGATGATTCCAAACCATCCATTTGAATTAGAAGACGATATAAATAATGTAAAATAATTACAGCATATATAGTGACTGCCAATTCCAAGAACCAGCTAGTATAATGCTGGAAATCAACTTGTAATCTATTGCAGTGTTATTTTCCAATTCCAGACCAAAGACCTCAAGAGAAAAATTTCTTAAATTCTCTTTATATCAAAGAGAAAACTATTAGGAATATTGAATTGAAAAAGATGTTTAGGTCATGGATTAATAAAAAAAGGTAGACAATTTTTTATTAGATAAACAAATGTGAAGTCTTTTCTATAAGAAAAAATTAAACAGAAAGAAGACAAATAAGCTCAAGATGGAGCAAATCACAAGTTGATTGTTCATTTGTCATCAAACTTGACTTTCATTCACAAAAAAAAAAGGGGCAAATTATTGTGTGGACCACAGTCCAAAACGGCGTCATTGAATATTATGAGTTAGAATAATATATTTTATAAGTTAGAATAATGTACATTATGAGTTATAATAATGTATGTTGCAACATGTCGCGTGGCAAAAAAAATTTGCGTGAAACAGCGTCGTTTTTGAACAGTCAACTGTTGATGATCAACACTAAAAACTTGGCATCTCCACAAAAACAGAGCTACGATCAAAACTAAAAACTTGTTTTAAAAAATAAACAAGAGTCTGATGGTCTTTAATCTTCTCTTCTAGGCCTAATCTCTCTCTACCTATGATATTTGATTTGTTCCAACTCATTTCCAAAATTCATTAAGTTGAAACTTAGCAGAAAATAAAACTGATTTGGATTGTGTAAACGAGGACGATAAAACTACTAAACCAGGAATTTTCCCCATGAAATCTATATTAATTAATCCTACAATAATACAAACAAAAACCAGATTATGACAAACTGGAACAAGAAAATCGTAAGAGACCATAAAATGGTGAAACGCTTAACCTCAGAAGAAAGATACATCCAAAAAACAAGTATCAAATGGCGGCGATTCCAAAACAAACCAAGGGAGGGGGGTCACTGTAATCGTACATAGCACATAGATAGATACACATGAATGTATGAATATAACACACACACAAACATGAATGAATGAAGAAAAGTTGGCATTCAATTCGGTCAAGAAACTTTTCATCAAACGACAATTCTGTTCCACCGCTTGGAAATTCAAAAAGCAAAACACAAAACCTTGAAGAAGACGAATGAGGACTGAGAACTGACCTTGAAAGAGAAGGGAATTTTTTTGTTGTTGAGGGAGAGAGAAAGGATGAAGGCCGCTAGCTACTGCAAAATTTCTGAGAGAATCAGAGGAATCATTTCACTTGGATGTAGCCATATAAACAGACACATCGCGACGTCATTTCTTTCTGCTAAATGTTTTCATATACTTTTTTAAAAAAATAGGTTCCAGCTGTATGCTAAACGTCACCTAAAATAACAGTAGAATCACGAGATCAATACAGTATTGCATCCGCCTCAAAGTTATTTTTAATTTAACTTTTCTTAATACTCCGTATTAAATTTAGTATTAGTATATAAAATTTATATATTTAAAAATTACATTAAAAGAATTATTAAATATAAAAAATTAAATTTTAAAATAATTAAAAATTATTAAAGAAAATAAACAAGGGAAAATTAACGATTTAGTCTTTCAATTGTTAGCAAAATATCAATGTAGTCCCTTAATCGCGAAATCATCGATTTAGTCCCTGAAAATAACTGTTTTAGTTGATTTAGCCCCTCTGACCATAGCCCGTGGAAAATCCGGCAATAGTTCCGATTTAGCATGGATAATATAGTCATTTCGCTTTTTAGTCTTCTTCTTATTGCCCTATTTAATTGCTTTAGTCTTCTTCTTCTTCAACTAAACTCCTCAAACGACGAAGATGCCTTATTAAACAGAGAGCCGTAGTTCTGAAACAAAGAGTAGATTTGAAGAGATTGAAGACTCCAAGCAACGAAGAAGAAAATAATGTCTTGCAACAACAGTTCTTCATCGGAATTCATGGCGGAGGTGCGATGTAGGTGCGGATATTTGGCTCCAATGAAGATGTCATGGAGTTATGCTAACCCAGGGAAGACATATAGGGCATGTCCAAGATACGGGGTAAGTGTTAAATTTAGGGAATATTTAGGTTAAATATTGTAATGTAATTCGATTTTGACAGTGTGAGTTCTGCTCAGGGAAATGAGAGTTGCTGTTATGGAATATAAATATAATATTTGAAATCTCTATAGATTAGGCAGTCTTAGGGGTTTAGGTAGGTAAGGCATATGGAAACTTGTTTCCTATTTGTAGTCTTCTAGCACCTATTTATAGGGCTCTATATTCTCTTTTCTAGAGGAGAGATATATAATACTTCTATTCACTCTCATACAATATATATTTTCTCATCTCTTGATTCTTCATCTTTGCTTCCCGCCTAACTGGCGGGTGGTTGTAATTCTCCACCCGCCAGGCATTTGAATCTTTCAATTTCAACATGGTATCAGAGCTTTTGGTTTATTATATCTTGTGAATTGTGTTGTTTGGTTAATTATTGTGGGTCCATAGGATTAGTCTCATATTTTGGTATGAGTTGAGTCAGTGTAGCTTGTTCAATGTGAATCAGTCCGGGGTGCTACAGTGATGGGCAGCACGGATGCTAGGAGGGATACGGACCTGGCATATGCCACAGCAGTTATAGGAGGCCGATGGTTGAAGAAGAATTGGTTCGGGATGAACCAATTGTGTGCACCAGGAAAACAGGAAAACACTGAAGAATTGGTTCGGGATGAACCAATTGTGTGCACCAGGAAAACAGAAAAACACTGGTGTTGGGCAGCGCTAATAATGGTTTGTGGTGCGAGAGGCAGGAGCACTGTGATGTTAGGCAGTGTTGATAACGGTGTGGGGTGTGAGTGGCAGGTGCGCTGTGGTGTTTGTCATGGTTTTGGCTTCGTGGAAGCTTAGTTGGTGCAACAGGTTGAACGGTGGACTGATTTGGCACAACGTGGTTTGAAGATTGATCAAGTGGTTCGAGACATGGGTGTTGATATCAAAGGTTATGACTCAAGATGTGAAGTCCTATGACTCATGTGATATATTTGTAACAAGCTGGGCATGATTGATATCTATGCTCCAGCTTGGGGGAGTGTTAGAAGTGAATAAAGTAGGGATATGAAGGGCCCAAGGCATATGAAAAGCCAAAGGAAGTGTCCTAAATGGATTTAAGTTAGTTCTTTATTTAGTTATTTTGGGTTATCACTTATTTGTGTAACAAGTTGGGCATGATTAAAATCTATGCTCCAACTTGAGGGGGAGTGTTATGGAATATAAATATAATATTTGGAATCTCTATAGATTAGGCAGTCTTAGGGATTTAGGTAGGTAAGGTTTGGAATCTCTATAGATTAGGCAGTCTTAGGGATTTAGGTAGGTAAGGCATATGGAAACTTGTTTCCTATTTGTAGTCTTCTAGCACCTATTTATAGGGCTCTATATTCTCTTTTCTAGAGGAGAGATATATAATACTTCTATTCACTCTCATACAATATATATTTTCTCATCCCTTGATTCTTCATCTCTGCTTCCGCCTAACTGGCGGGTGGTTGTAATTCTCCACCCGCCAGGCATTTGAATCTTTCAAATTCAACACAGGTATTTTGAATGGATGGACTATGATGTCTCCGAATGTGTAGCAAATGTCATTAGAGGATTGTTGAAGATGGCAGACAAGTATGAGAAGGAAATTGACAAGCTGCACTTGACAATTGAGAAAAAAGATCATGAATTTAATAAGAAGATTTGGGAGTCCAATTTTAAGTTTTTGTATGGATTTGGAATTGGTTTTGTATTTGCAATCTTTTTTATGAATACATGGATGAAATCTGATGTAGCAAATGTAGGGTTATTGTAGCTTAAGTAGTAATATAATCAGGTGTAGTTTGTTTTTCAGCAATGGATGGTGTAATGAATTGGCTTGTGATGGTTAATGATTAGTGTTAATTTTGACAGTTGATAGTTGATGGTTAAGTGTTCATTTTGACAGTATGTGTATATAAGCAAGACAAATTACACAAAAACTGTTCCACTTTGACAGTTAACATAAAATGCTCCAATATTGCCATTAACATAACCAATTCACCATCTTACAAAAAGTAGTATTTCTACATGGTCACCATCTTACAAACTAGTTTGCAAACTTATACCAAAAGACATAACATTTAAGCTTACACAAAAATGTTTGCAAACTTACACCAAAAGACATTACCTTTTAAGCTTACAAAATACTCCTACAAAATAGTTTCCCAACATTGAAAGGTCACTTTTTCTTCATGCTTTTAAGTCCTCCAACAATTACATATTTCTTCCTTCTAGTGGTAATCACATGATCAACGGCTTGAGATGATATGTGTGAAGATATAAAGTTTGACATGTTTGGGATCACATTTTTTCCTTCAATGGCTTGTGATGGTTGGGATGACATTGCTTCCTGAAAATATGAGCACAAAAAATTATAAACAACAAATTATATGCACTGGGCAAAGTCAAACTTTACTTACCATTTCATTTAGCACAAAGTCTGGGACTTGTGTCTCAATTACCACATCATGACATTGCTCTTGATGGTAATGATGTTCACGTTCCTGCAGCTCTTCATTGACTTCAACTCCCTTTGGTTCTTGTACCTTCATGCAATAAAATCAGTTAACAAAAGACCTCCACTGACAGTTAAGAAAAACAGTAAGGAATTAGCAAGGGTCATACCTGTTTGCCTTTTGCCTTGCAAGTAGTCCTATTATGACCTCTCATGCCACACAACCTACACTTTTTAACTTCACCTTGTTTAGTAGATTTTGTTTGATCTGGCTTTTCCACAATTGGATCTATCTTTCTCTTCTTCTTTGGCCTCCCAGGTTGTGGCTTATACTTTGGTGGGATTGGAGGTGGTAGGATAGTTTTGTGCCATAATTCTGGAGCTCGGATAGGCAATATTGCAGGGCCATATGCTCTCATGTACTGCTCCACTGTATAACATTGATGGACATAATCTTCTGGAATATCACCCTTTTTCCTTATAGCTGCAATGACATGTGTACAAGGTATGCCAGTGATGTCCCATCTTCTGCAACTACACTACCTAGCACTTAGATCAATCTTGAAAGGCTTGAAGTTGTCATCATCAACTTGATAAATATCACCAACAGATTTATATGCATTGAATCTACAACATCTGTCTTTTCCTTCTTCTAGGATTTTCTGAATTTTTGGACAGACCTTGAAGGGTTGACAACTCATTTTGTCCCTATTCTTTTGCATCCTAATAATCAAATATAACATTATCTTATCAACCATTGCTTGTATTGGCTTATCCCTAAAATTTAGAATGCAACTGTTCAAGGTTCTATGTCTACCAAAAACATATTCTCCCAATAAACCCTAAATTTTGACGAAAAACTTACAATTTGGCGTAGTGGCAAACCGATTAATCCTCCGACTCGTCATGTTGTCACTTCAATGCCTACGATTTTGCTCCAATCCCTACGACTCCAATCCCTACGATTTTACTCCAATTTGGTGGATTTTGGTGGGGAAAAAATTTAGGGCTTAAAAGCGAAATGACTAGGTTCTTCGACACTTAACCAAAACAGCCGCACAACAATGTAAGAAGAAGACTAAAAAGCAAAATGACTATATTACCCATGCCAAATCGGAGCTATTGCCGGATTTTCCATGGGCTACGGTCGGAGGGGCTAAATCAACTAAAAAAAGTTATTTTTAGGGACTAAATCGATGATTTCGCGATTAAGAGATTACATTGATATTTCGCTAACAATTGAGGGACCAAATCGTTGATTCACCAATAAACAACGAAGAAAGAGTTAATTTGACCAATAAATAATAAACATAACAGGTAAAATGAGACAGAAAGAGTAATAAAGTAGGAAAATGCTTCCCATTCTTATAAAAATCATATAATTTTTGTCACTTTGACTAATATTGTGTGGTTATTTTTTTACTTTTTTTTTTTAAACTTTTAATTACTACAAATTGACAACAAAGTGAGTTTGTCTGAGTGGTATATGTATAGATGTATAATAAAGTAAGTAAATGAGTAATACGCTCCTAGCCACCTTGGTTCCAAAAAAATATAAATTCATAGTTTTTTATTTGTTTTTCTAATAAAATTATGGTTATAATAATTAATAATATATAATAAGAGTTGTATACTCACTATACTGCGAGTATACTTATCATTTTCTTTCACAAACACTATACATCCTGCTACTTGATCGATAAAATAAATTAAATTCTTAAACTTTTATGAAAAGACAAAAAATCTCCTATGAGACTCAATCTCATGACCTCCCATATGAGAGAATCATTACATGTCATCTAAGCACAAGGTGCTTGGTGATTGAAATGATTTTTAATTCAATTTGTCATAATATTAAGTTTAGTATTAGTATACAAAATTTATATATTTAGAAACTATAATAAAAGTACTATTAAACACAAAAAATCAAATTTAAAAATAAGTAAAAAATCATAAAGAAAATAAAAAAAATGGGACAAATGGAGTACAATTTTTCTCATAAGAAGCTATTCAATCTCTAAAATTATATTTTGATTTAAAAGTACAATATTTTTATTTTTTTATTTTATCAAAGTATCACATTTTTCTCATAAGTATTACACTTTCCATGATAAGTAAAAATCAATCAATTTATGTTGGAGGATGAAGTAGATGCAACTCAGAAAAGTGGTGAACAAGGTTGACTTGTCAAAGGGTGTTACTGTCTTTTCTTTCGATTAGTTTGTTGTAATCGTCTTTAGCCTAGCTTTGCATCGTATGTATGTATGTTGCTCTTTCTTCCTCATTGTATTCTGCTTTCACAACGTTCAATAAACCTTCAAGCTTTCCCTCTCATATGTGACTATTAGAAACATTATATTTGTGACACCCCGTAATCCAAATTCGATTAATGGATTAATTAAGTAATCAATTCTAAACCAATTGGTAATTTAATTCCTGAAAATTCAATAGTCGAGGACTAGTAATTGACTAGTCAACCCAAAGTCAAGGTTGTACCTTAAGCTTTGTGAGTAGTTCCCTTGTTCCCTTACACCTCTTCATTTTAGTAAGGGTATTCATGACATTTCACCTTGTGTTAGTAATGCAAGCTAACCTAGTAGACACTCCTCATTCTTTCTCCTTACACTTTCCAAACTTGAGCTCTCCCTTCTCTCTAAAAGTTAGATAGCTTTTCTTCCAAGCCAAGTTGGAGCTTTGTCAAATCTTCAAAGGTTGTCTCAAAGATTCTACCTTTCATACATTTGAGCATCTAGGAGGGTAAGATCTATGTTCATCTTGTGTTTTTAGTGTTTTCTAAGGTGTCTTTTCTTAAAGATAGAATCTTTATGATATTTTGGTGTGTTCTTGAAGTGGGTTTGGAAGGTGAGCCTTAGTAGGAGCTTGGTGAAGTGTTAAGTGAAGGTTTTTGTCTACAAGAGGTAACCCATGCTCTACAAAACCTATTTTGCTTACCTATATGATGATTTCTTGGATTCTACATGTGATTTTGCTATGAAATGTGAGTGTTTATGCATTGTCTTGTGAAAATGCATATCTAGAGCTTGTTATTAGGGTTCTTGTATGCCATTGCTTGGCTATTCCTTTGATTCAAGTCATTTTATTGTATTGGGTGAGATTTGGCATGTTTTGGACTTGAATTTGAGCTTGTGTTGAAAATCCCCGAAGGGATATTTTGGTACAGATTGGTGTACCCGCGGGTGGAACGGCGGGCAGTGGCCTACCCGTCGCCCCACCCGCGGGGAACGTGGCTTGTGGGTGTTGGTACCCGCGGGCGGAACCACGGGTGGGGGTCTACCCGTGGGTCCACCCACGGGGAACATGATGGTGTTGTTTGGGGATTTGTTCCCCGTGATTCTTTTGACTCGGTATTTGGTCTTTTGACTTCCCGATGTTCTTTTGTGGAACTATTTGAGCGTCTTCTTGATGTTTTGTATGTCTAGAACTATATGGTAGGAATCCATGTAGGTTTTGGTGTCTTGAATCGTGCTAAGTGTTCAACATTGTGTTTCGTTGAACCGTGATGAGTCTTGTGTGTTCTTCAGAACTACGTTTGGTTTACTCGTTTGATAAGCATGCTAGTTCGGTGTTTAAATGCTAGCGTGTGTGTTGTTTGTACCTTCCTATCGTTGATGATAACTTGAGTTATTCATCGTTGTTGTTAGACTGTGATCCATTCCTTGACTGCGTATGGTTTCATATCTTTGTTGTGATCCGTTGATTGATTCCTATGATGGTGTTGTGTGTGTGGCTGTACCTGGATTGCACGATTAATGGTATGGGACATTAGTCACCAAGGTACGGCAGTGGTCCTCGTGGTGGCCATTGTAGCTAGAAAGAGAGGATATCAACCAATGTGTTTGTTCTATTTTCTGTGTGTGTTCTCCTTCACTGCTATACATAGATATATATACTACTACAATGGACAGTTATACAACTCTTCACTTCCTAGCCTATTTATTTCTATGCCTTTCCATCTTCTATAACAGTTTATATCTAACACTCCCCCTCAAGCTGGAGCATAGATATTAATCATGCCTAGCTTGTTACAAATATACTCAACCCTGTCCCTGCTAAGCCCTTTGGTGAACACATCAGCTAGTTGATCGCCGCTACGAACATGAGCCATGGAAATGAGGCCTTGTTGAATCTTTTCACGCACAAAGTGACAATCTACCTCAATATGCTTGGTACGCTCATGGAACACTGGATTGTTTGAAATGTGTATTGCTGCTTGATTGTCACACCATAAACGTATGGGCTTCATCACTTCCACACCAACCTCCTTCAACATATTGTGCACCCAAGTTATTTCACACGTCACATGAGCCATCGCCCTATACTCAGATTCTGCACTGGACCGAGCCACAACAGTCTGTTTCTTGCTTTTCCAAGAAACCAAATTACCTCCTACGAACACACAATACCCTGTTGTAGACTTCCTGTCACTTAACGAACCTGCCCAATCAGCATCCGAAAATGCCTCAACTCTCGCATGTCCATGATCAGCATATAGAATACCTTTACCTGGTGCATTCTTGAGATACTTTACAATTCGAACTGCTGCCTCCCAATGAGTTCGCATGGGTGCTTGCATGAACTGACTTACCACACTGACTGGAAAAGCAATATCAGGACGCGTAATGGTGAGATAATTCAACTTTCCCACCAACTTCCTATATCTTTCTGGAGAATCAAAAGCCTCCCCCTCACCAGCCACAAGTCTCACACCCTGCTCCATAGGAGTCTCACATGGTTTTGATCCCAACAACCCAGTATCATCAAGCAGATCTAGCACATATTTCCTTTGGGAGAGAAATATTCCTTTCCGAGAGCGAGCAACTTCAATCCCTAAAAAATACTTCAACACTCCCAAATCTTTCGTGTGAAACTTTTCTTTGAGGAAAGATTTAAGAGCCTCAATACCTACTGCATCATTACCTGTGATTACTATATCATCAACATAAACAATCAAGAGAATGCACCCATCATTAGTATGCTTGAAAAAGACAGTATGATCACACTGACTCCTTTGCATACCAAACTCCATAATCACACTACTAAACCTCCCAAACCAAGCCCGTGGAGATTGCTTCAGGCCATATAGAGACTTTTTCAATTTACACACACTTCCAGACTCCCCCTGAGCAACAAACCCCGGAGGTTGCTCCATGTAGACTTCCTCAACCAGATCACCATGCAAAAAGGCATTTTTGACATCTAGCTGATACAGAGGCCAATGGTTAGACGCAGCTAAGGAAATAAAGATACCAACTGAAGCTATCTTAGCTACCGGGGAGAAAGTTTCTGTATAATCAACACCATAAGTTCGTGTATATCCCTTTGCTACTAGACGAGCTTTAAGTCTAGCCACAGACCCATCAGGGTTCATTTTCACAACATAAACCCACTTGCAACCAACTGCGGTCTTACCGTCCGGGAGGGGTACCAAATCCCAAGTATGGTTGTCTTCAAGAGCAGTCATCTCCTCCTCCATTGCCTGTCTCCACCCATCATGTGCTAAAGCCTGACTCAAAGTGTTTGGAACTGACATAGAATCTAAACGTGATACAAAGGTGCGAGATGACAACGGCAAATGATTATAAGACACAAAAGATGAAATAGGGTTCTGACAACGGCGTTTACCTTTACGAAGGGCAATGGGAAGATCCGGATCATTTGACGAAGATTCTGGTAAGGAAGA